TGTATGATTTCACCTTTCTCATCTCCTCCAAACCACACGAAGCCCCGGAACACTCAACCTTAAAAACCCTAGAAGTTCTAAAGCCCTAAGCTCCCACCGTACCTCGGATCCAGTTAGCCCAATGTACCCCCGATTCACGGAACGTCCCTCAAACTATGTAGTGTTTCCTATCCTTGACTTGAGTGGAGCACGATCTACGGAAGCCACAAAAATCACAGGGGTTTCGGGCTGTTTGGGGCTCTCTGCTTCGGAGTTGGGGTGCTGAAGCCCTGAGCCAAAGCGTGATGGGCCAGGAACTGCCGCACCAGGGACAAGCTGCTGGATGAGCTGCGAACTTTCCAGCTCTCTTCCCTGAAGCGCCCCGCAGAGTTCAGGGCTTCAGGGGTTTATGGGTTTTTGGTTTAGGGGTGAGGGGTTTACTGTTTAGGGGTTTACGGTTTAAAATTTAGGGCTCTAGGGTTTAAGGGTTTAGAACCCTGACTCTGAAGTGTCCTGAGTTCACAGCTGCAGGCTACCCTTGTGGAGCTCAAGCTTTCCATAAGGGTACACACGTCGTAACTAAACCCTAAACCCCAAACCCTGAGCTTGTGGAACCCGCGCCCTATGCCTCAACAGTTCGTCCTGGTCCTGGGCCGAAAGGGATTCAGTTCTGAAACAACGGCGTCGGAAGCTTCGAACAGCCCCTTCGTGTATGAAGGGCCCTTAGGAGTTTTGCTGGAACCCTTTTTAGCCGGAGCCATTTGGGGTTTAGGGTTTAGGGTATGGGGTCTCGGGTTTAGCCTGAGAGGTGCAGCAACCCGAGTGATCGCGACTTTATCCTGCCGGTCATTGAAAGGCGAGTCTCGGGTTTAGGGCCTCGGGGCCTTAGGATTCGGGTTGGCGCGAGGGTTTTGGGCCCTTGGTGTTTTACGGTTTAGGGTTTAGGGTTGAGGGTTCGCGATGCAGTCATGAGTACTGTGTTGTGGGTTGAGCAAGGCAGTAAGGGCAGCAGCCGAGTCCCTTGTGACACGAAGGGTTGACGGTTTGGGGGTTTGGGTTTTGGGTTCTGAGCAGGGGCCTTCAATAAGGAGCCTACCCAGGCCCGAAGCTCCCTCAGCACTTAGTGATTGTCCTTTAAACTTTAGGTCCAACAGTCCGATAGCCCTGAGCCGTTGGATCCGCAACGCGAAAGAAACCCAAATTCCGCAACACCGAAGCCGCCTGACCTCTTCTAGTTGAGGGTTTCCTTCGAGAGTTCAGAAATTGTTCAGGCTCTTTTTGAGGCTGCGGAGAGTCTCCGTAGAGCTCCGCCGGCCGCGCAAGCTGAACTCTTAAGTCCGACATCCGAAATTTGTGAGGCTTGCGCCTGGGTGCGCTAGCGTAGGTTATTCTTCGACGAGCAGCATGAAGCTAGGCTTCAGGGATTCAGTTTGAGTAATGCAGGCAACTGATGAAGAAACCATGGCCCTGTAACCCCAACACATTACGAGGATCCATATAGAGAACAAAACTCAGGACCCAAGGTGTCGTAATCAGGCTCCTACAGTACATCGTATTGGCTTACTTCGCCAACCTTACGAGTTTATTTGGACTGCTGTTTGGGCTTTTGGTTGCTCTACGTCCAGTTTGCTTCGGATTTGGTGCGCCGTGTCGGCTGCTCCCTACGTCCCTGTGGCAAGCTGGCTCTATGAGACTTATCTGTGGTTTCGTGCCTGCCTGCGCGAGTGTGCATGCCGAAACCCGAAGGCGTAACCTCATGCAAAACCCTAAACCCTACACCATCTACACCCTAAACCTTAAAACCCTAAGTGCCCACAAACAGGGGCCCAATGGTTTCAACGTTATAGAGCGTCGGATGGAGCCGTCGGAAGAGGAGTGCAAGACGTCTCCCTTGGCAAACTTAAACCTCAAACAAAAAACTCCACAAGGTTGACACCTAAACCTCTAAGAGCACTAGAATACAAAAGCCCGATACCGTACACAGGTGGTATGGCAGCCGTGGGGTCTTCGAGTTCTTCGTGCGCACCACGCTCTACGAGGCCATTTTTGGGAGGGCTTTTCGAGGCTTTAGGGCTGCTTTGAGGGCTCCTTTTCAGAGTTCTGTTCAGCTTTCTATATTGGAGAGAGGGCTTCGGGTTTCTGGGTTTCGGTTTAGGGCTTAGTGTGTATCGTAGGATGGCGGGCTTCAGAGCTGAAGCTTTGTTCCTTAGGATTCTTCGAGCCTGGGGCGATTTAGAGCAAAAGGCTTTGGGCATCCCAGGGTTTCGGTTTTCTGGACCTTGCACGTTCCCAGAGCGCTGAAGGCCCTACCCCAGAAAGCCCCAGGAGCCACACTTCTAAGCCCTTATAGAAGCGGTAAGACCTAATGACACGCGCCAACCCTTAAACTCTTAAGTCATCATCATACCCTACACCACTGACACGAGCCTGCAAACAATGCCGGTAATACGGTCTCAGGCACTCCAAAAGAGAACAATCCTAAACCCTGAACTTTTAAAACAAACCCTTCCAGCTGAAAACGAAGGAGCTGAAGCCTTTGCAGGGGATGCCGAGGCACTGGGAGGGAACAAGAATTGAAGAAGGTTTCGTAGCGTTTTTGTCGGGTTGTGTGGGTGTCATCTGTTTTTATGGGGGTTTTCTAAGGATCTCGTGGTGCTTTTATGGGTTTTAAGGGGGGCTGGCTAGGACGAGCGGTCTTGATCCTAGCCTTGACGGCCTAACATCAACTCTTCGCATCACATGGGTGGAATTCTAATAGGCTTCCCTTATGAAAGTCTCTGTCTACATAACAGTAATTTAACATGCCCTAGCCGTATTCTCATTGTCAAGAGGCCCTCATATAATGAACCTTGGAGGAGAAGCTACCTGCCACTGGAAGCAACAACGGAGTCCTAAAGGAGCCCCTAAGGTGCGGGGGCAGAGGCTTTGTCCGAGTGTGAGTGTCAAAAAACCCTAAACCCTACTCCTGAACCCTTAACCCTATACAAGTCGAAGCCGAATGGGACTCCACCAGGACGGGCCAGCAGCTGCTGATCCTCACATCGCCTTTGGCGGTTTCCGTGCCTCGGCTTAAGGCTTGGAGTTTAGGCTTCAGGGTTTAGGGTTCAGGGTTTAGGTTTCAGGGTTTACGGGTTCAGGATTCAGGGTCTAGGTTTTAGGTTTCAGGGTTTAGGGTTTCGGGTTGTTACGGTAGTTAGCCAGCCTGCAGCAAAGGGTTGTTACGGTCTAGGCTTTGGGGCTACCCGACAGGTTTGAACAGGCCTGGATGTAAAAGGGTTCTTGCGGCGTAGGTTTGGGGTTTTAGGGCGACCCTGCGACGATCCCTAGAGAGGGCGCCAAAGCGCGCAAGACAGCGCGCATGGCCCTAGCAAAGAAAGGTTTAGGGTTCAGAGCCTGGTTCACAAAGGATTATTGAATTTTTTTTTCGGTTCAGGATCTCATGGCAACCGCGGAAGCTAGAACCCAGAAAAGGCCAACATACCACAGAGTCCATGGAGTCTCAAAGCCCAAAAAGGGTTCCTTGAAGGGCCCCTTTGAGAGTCCCTTTATAAGGGTCGCTTGAAGGGTAGCTTGGCTTTCTGATGCTTGCTTCCTGCCTTTATTCTCCTAGTCGAAAATAGCTACCTCAAGCCGAAGCCCCTCAACCGAAAGACCGGAAACCGCAAGCCTAAACCCCGAACCCTGGAACCCAAATCGCATGCCGGATCCAACCCCTAAGCCGTAAGCCCCAATCCCAGAACCATATGCCTCGCCTGGATTGTCCGAGTGTGTGAGCGCCGAAACCCCAAACCCAGAACAGAACCCCAAAACCGTCTACCGAGTGGCAATTTCCCTGCAGCGCGACCAAGTCAGCGAAGCAGGTGGGTAACAAAAGCGCCCCAAGAACTAAAGCGCAATCCTCTAAACCACAAGCCCGATCCATAGGCCCCGTAACCCCAACAACCAGAACCCCTAAGCGCTAAGCCCGACCCCAAGAAATCAACGACAGGCCGAGCACGTGCTCAGTGTCATCAAATCAGGTGAGCCTACTGATCGAGCCTTCGGTGGTTTTGATATGTTTTGGGATTTTGGGCTCTGGGGCTTATGGCATGTCAAAAGTGTTGCTACGGTGTTTGTGGTGATGAGAGCTGTTTTGGGTTTGGGCTTTTGGGTTTTCATGGTTCTTAAGGCTTTAGGGCTACGCGGTGGAGGGTCTTGGGAGAAAGTGTTTAAACACGGAGAATCCTACCGGGCTTGGGGTTTAGGGTTTAGGGTTGAGCGTTAGGGGTTTAGGGTTGAGGTTGAGGAGATCATCTGGGTTTGAACACTGCTGGCTTCGTGGTTCAGGTTTGATCTAGCTGGCAACTAGGGATGAGAACGATGGAGTTTAGGGTTTAGGTTGGTGTCAGCTTTCTGCTGCCATGCCATGGCAAGCAGAAGGGCGATCATCGCCCAGAACCTTCGATCAGCCAGCCTTGTTATGGGAGCAGGCGATAAGGCTAAGGAAGACGAAGAGAACTGTTTTTCCCTTCTGGCTGCTTTCTTCGGAACACACCCACACACCGACACAAGCACACGGGGTTTTCATGAGAAGTGACATGGATGCAGAACTAAAGGTGTAGCACAGGCATTTGTCAGCCCAGTTTCTTGCCCAAAGCCCTAAAATCCTCAACCCTAGAACGCTGGGAGCAAGAAAGTGTCCAAACTCTACATCCCCAAACCCTACAAACCCACAAAACCCTCAAAGGATCATAGACCCAAAAGGCCTTTGACCATCGGAAAGACTCCCCACGCAAGGAGTGGTCTCGCGGTTGTTGGCTGTCCACGTGGGCGTTCACGTCTTCGTTTGTCTCCTTCTGCTCCGCTTCCTCTTCAATGCCACGGTGGGGGGGGGGGGGGGGG